GTGTTGCACACAACCTATATCCTAAACCCTAAACCCTGAGACGCTACTAACTGCTACTACTACTACTACTACTACTACAACCACCACCACCACCAAGCGACAACGCCACAACCTGAAGCATGGAAAACAGCTCACCCCGAACAAAGAAATCCCTAAACACTGGACCCATGAACCCTGAAGCTTAAACAGAAGGTCACGTATAGGGGCTTCCCACGAAAGCAACCAACGTTTTGGGATCTTGTATAACAACCATCGACGCTAAAACCTTCAAATCAAAGCACTTTCAGCCCTAAAGAACTTCGCATCTTTAGCGCCTTGAACCTAAACCCTAAACCCTAATCCTTAAGGCTTTAGAACTTCGGATCTTTAGCACCTGGAACCTAAACCCTAAACCCAAAACCCTGATCCTGAAGGCTTGAGAACTTCAGATCTCAGGACGGTCGCTTTTGGGCTGCCACAAGTGCCGGTGCTTCTGCACTTCCATCAGCCCCTGGGGTTTCAAGCCCGCAAGGACGGGCTTTGGGGGTTTAGGGTTTGGGGTTTGTGGGAGTTTAGGGGTTTAGGACGGATTTTGGGCTTTTGGGGGTTTAGGGGTTTAGGTTTTTGTTGAGTGGTTTAGTGGTATTGGACTCCTTTGGCCTGCTTTCTACACAGGCTGCAACAGGGGTAGTGTAGAGTTTTTGTCAGGGCCCAGGGTTCTAAAGGTGCAGAGGTCTTCTCTCACTGGGAGAGTGAAAAAGCACGCAAGGATGGAGCATGTACATTTAGCGTGGATTTCAGCAAGGAAGGTCTTCTTATAAGAGGGTATTGAATGGAATTGATACAGATCTTACAGAATTAGTAGTAGAGGTTGTGTTTACTGAGTTTGTCACTACAGTCTTTTGGTTTATGAAGGTCTTAAGAACGGCTTATGGTTTCGGTGTTTCGAGGCTAAGGATTCAAAGGATTGAGTTTAGAGCCTCCTCAAAAAGGAGGTTTTCGGAAATTAGTAGCTTCAGGGATTGGGTGTCGCCATGTTGAGTTTGTGGCTGTGGGTTTTAGTGAAGGGTTTGAAGTTGAAGGTTTCGAGGCGGAGCATGCTACAACGTCTTCTGGATATCGCGCTTAGTTTCGTAGGGCATGTTTTTATGCAAACTTCAATCTAGGCGTGTTCATGTTTTGGCTGCAACCGTCTGAGCTCAGGGTTTTCTGTATTGAGCTGAAACCTGAGGCAAATAGACTTACAGGGTTTTGCCGGGTCAGAAATTTCTCACTGATAAACGCCTCTCCCATTAGAGGGATTATAGTAGGGATCCTATGTTTGGGCTTTTGAAACAGGCGGCCTTGCAATCAAGGGTTGATTTTCCTCGACGCAGACATCTGTTCAACTCCACTAACCTTACAAGACACGTCGCAGCATCGCGTCTAGACTTCTGTCTCAAATAACCCCTGAACTCCAAACACACATGGTCTGGTGTGTACCCAGCCTGGGAGCAGGAGAAGTGTTAGGACCGACTGAAGCTGCATGGTCTCGGATTTTGGTGTCTTGCGTGCAGATGACTGCAAAGTGGTTCAAGCGGAACAAGCAAAGCCTCCCCTCTGTGTATCCAGAGAGGACAGCCCTGGTATGCTTGGCATGGTGCCTTCCACGCACCATTTGCCTTGGAATGTTTAGGGCTCCGGACTTGGAAAGTTTAGGGTTGATAGTAGGGCCGAATGCATCCGAATGAAGGTTGCAACACCATTCCGCCACAAACACTTTCAGGTTAGCGACTCTTCGAGATAAGGAAACGGCAAACACCTAGCCGAAGTGATCTGGCTAGGCTGCACAACTTGGCCTGGGCTCTTTGCCACATGATTTCTCAACTACTGGAGCGATGCCCTGCATGACTGTGCGGCATGTGCTTACGAGCGAGTTCTTCGTGTTCTATATTTCAGGCCTGAGATTCCCCAAGATTTGTGTAGGTTCCGAGCCTCCAAAATTCAGCACTCAGCCCTAAACCCTAAGCCCTGCGGTGCAGCATAGGCAGCTGGGGTCAGCTGGGCGGGGTGGGAAAAACCCTAAACCCTAAAGCCGAGACCCTCAACCGGAGGCATTGGAAAGCCCAAGAGCCGAGTCAAAAGACTCGGAACGAGGACGAGCAACCACAGACCGGCGTCAAGAATTCCTTTCAAGACCTACGGTGAAGCCCGAAACTGCCAACCCCTGAACCCCTAAACCCCAAACCCTACACCCCAAGCTGAAACCATCCGAGGCAGAGCTCGAGCAGTTCTTCCCTCTCGTTGCGGAAGGATTGGAAGCTCCGGTCATCATGCTGATCCGGAGTGTGCCGGCTGTTTATTTGGGTTTAGCCCTAAACCCTAAACCTAGGGTAGGACGCAGGGTTTTAGGGTTTATGGTTTAGGTCGAACCTTTCGGAAGATGTGGAGCAACTTCCCGATGGGGTTCAGTTCATAGGCATTCCGGGATCCCACGACTTCAAGGTTCGTACCAGGGGCCCGTCCTCGATAGTTTTTACGGATATTTCGGAGTTCGGAGTCTGAGGGGCGTGAATCGGAGGTTTTGGGTGTAGCTCGCAGGCTCGTATCAACAGCTCCGTCGATCTGTTTTCAGACCGTGCCGGGCCTTGATAGCAGATATGGCGGGGACAAGATGCGACTCTTTATTTCAGGCCTTGTAGGAACCGTATAATGGCGGGGCCTGAATAATAACCCATACTATTTTGAGGGATTATAGTGTAAGATACCCCAAAACCCTATTCTAATTATTCGGGCCCCTACGTTAGTAGCGCAAATTCAGGATCCCTCAATAAACGACCTGATCCCTGCTCTCGAAGATCGCCAGATTTGAGCTTGCAGACATAATGCCTGCACGAGGACCCTAAACCTTAAACCCTAAACCCTAAACCCTAAACCTTAAACCCTAAACCCTAAACCTTAACCTGAGCCATCCTAAGCCCAAACCTTCCTAGCAAAACCTTCATACTCGAAGTACCGCCCTAAAGCATACGACAGGGTCCAGTCTGGGCAAGGTACCCAGTCAGGAACCTTTCGACTCTAAACCCCAAAACCTCGCCTGCCTTTGTCCGAGTGTGAATGTCGAAAACCCTGCGCCGCAAGTTAACCGCAGAAGTGCGAGAAACAATAAAGGAATCCCTGAATGGAATCGTTAAAGTAGCCCCGAAACGAACCCCAAAAAGAGCCCCAAAAGCTCAGCCTTAAACCCATAAGGCTGTAAGGTACTGGCGCAGACAAAGTGCTGACGCCGGCGGTTGAGGCCTTCACGGAAGACCTCGTGTCCCAGGTGTGCCTTGGGTTGTCTCAGTGAGGCTTCATGTATAGGATCTATACTATAGGGGTTTAGGCAGGAACTTTGGGGTAAAGTTTGTTTTTGGATCTAAGAACCTACTGCATATAGTGCTTCAAAGGCTATGCCCTGTAGCTATAGGGCCATGATCTACCTTCTAGGGCTGCATGTCTCTAAGGGTCCACAACAGGCTCTCAACCCGAAGCATCTCTCTGAGAGCTAGACTCAGACTGCAGGTGGCTCATGGGGACATCTCTCAGAATCCTTGGAGTACCCCCGGATCCACAACCCTACGCCGAAACCTACAGCGCTATACATCCTAAAGCAAGAACCCCGACAGTACCCTAAACCCTACAACCGGAAAGCTTAATTCTATATAACCTCACAGAATGCAGTGCCCCAGGTTCAAAACAGGGGATGCACCACCCCTTACCCTAATGGGCCCATTAAATACCTGTATCAAAAACCCTGTCACAATGCTAAACCTTACACCCTACACCCTAACCCTGAACCCAAACCCGAAGGGTGACTTTGAAACCTACGGCCATCCGAGGAAGTCAGACCCTAGGACACGGATTCTCGAGCCGATCGTGCTCGGCTCCTACGGATGCAGGTTGAATATAGGGGCTTAATTAAATAACTTCTAATAGTATGTTGGTTGTATTTGCAGGGTTCCTTATCATAATTATAGTATAATGTAGGGGCCTGAAACTAGTTCCCAGTACTATTTTGGTGGCTCCTTATTCCTCCCCTCGAAGGCTCTGAAGTTCTGTAAGGTTTAGAAGGGGATTCAAAGGGTTCAGGCCATTGTGGCCCCAACGGTTTTCGTTTTTATCTTGTGTAGTGTTCACGCTGAGAACGGGGCTTAGGCTTGCGATTCCCAGTGTTTGCACCAGCCACACGAATGTTCTTCCATTTCCGGTTCGATTTTTCCAGTTTCCGTTGTCTATTTGATCCATGCGCCCGCTGGCTTTCCTGAGCTCAATTCCGTCAACACGTTCTTTCTGTTCTGGCAGGGGGGCATTCTTGTCCATACCGCATTCGCTTGCGTGCAAGTTTCGAAGAGAGTGCCGGAGCACCGTTCCTATTGGAAAGCTTCGCTCATGTTATGTTTCGATGTGCGTTCCGGGGATACGGCTTTCCAGGGAATCTGCTTCAGCACAGAACAACTGCCAGAATAGCGCTCAGACCAGTGGAAAATGGAGTGGGAGCGCAAACGGAAGTTTCCGCAGGAATCGAAGCAGAGTGGAACGGACGAACATCTAGAACGGAACGGAGGTAGAACGTGACTGTCCAGCTGCTGCAGAATTCGGAAATACGGCTTCTCTTGGCGTAAGGTCTAGACCGGACAAAGAGTTGTCGGCTGCATGCTTGGAGTTGCCCCAGGCTACTACACTGATGGGGATGTGGCAGGCGACGTCGGGCGCCCACGAGAGATCGATTTGGAGTTGTGGGTGGTTGTGGGGTGAAGATTGATTCTGCTTCTTTGCGGTTCGGTCACGGTGTGTTCAGTGACTGTACACCATGCTGCAGAGGCCTAACTGGGCCTGCGGGAGCATATCAGTCAAAACATGCCAACCCCGTGGAGTCGGGAACCCGGAGCACCACACCCGAAACTCATAACAACATCGAAGTCTTCAGGGTTCAGTCGGTTTATCTTGACTCCGTGGTGTTGTCGTTTTGGGAGTTTTGGTTCGGGCCGATCGCCAGACAGGAGTGCACCTGCCAGAGAGCATCCGCAGACAGCTCTTCGGCAGCAGCTGTCGCAGTGTAGAATGGGTTTTCTTGTGCTCGCATCTTGAAATTCGGAATCGAACCCTCACCCAAGCCCTCCATGCCCTCCAGCTGACCCTGTATCCTCGATGTGCTAGCTTTTCCTACTCGTACGGCCAAAACCATAAAAATGTTAGAAAGTTGGGGCTTCACGGAAGAGCTGTGTCAGCACAGATCAACCTCCGACTATCTCGTTTCAAGGGTTGGATTTGGGAGTGGGAGTGGGAGGACTTTGAGGTTTGGGATTTAGGGTTCAGGGTTTAGGGGTTTACGGTTTAGGGGGGTTTAGGGTTTAGGGGTTTATAGGGTTCGGGAGTGAGGGTTTGAGGCCGCCTTTTTGGAAAGACGTGGCTCCTGCGACGTCACGCCTCCACTCCAGGTTTCCAGTCAAGAACTAGAGGTCTTGACCCAAAGTGTTAAACACTAAGGTTTAGGGCCCCAACCTCTCAAAGTAGACCCGCGCTACATTCACCATATTCCGTTTAGGGTTCAAGGTGTAAGGTGTAAGGTTTTGTAGCAGAGACCAACATGATCCAACGATAAATGCCACTAGAGAAGGGGAGTTGACTAGTCTGTGGTCGACATCATTGGCTACCACAAGACGGCTACCTTCACACTTTGACCATGCAGACATATGACCCCGGTGATGTCAGGCTGGCCATTGTCGGCTGAAAGGTTGGAGTAGAGGTGTTTGTGTATGGATGCGCTTTTGTTGAGAAATTCGCCATTTAGTGTCGCCACAGGCAGGGTTAGAGTTCATTCTCTTGGCGGGTTCTCGTGCAGGAGCCCAATTGGAGTTATCATGATAAGGAAAGCATGTTATTGCTACTTACTACGTATCCTTACTGTGATAGCTTTCCACAAGCTCCTTCACAGGAATCTAGCTTGTTGTAGGCCTTGGGTTCAGGATTCCAGGGTTTGTGTAAGTTGCCGTAGTTTCCAGTACAGCCTTGCGTCTCAGGGTTTTTGTGTGGTAAGGCTTTGGATTTAAGCTTTTTGGGGGTCCTGAAAGCTTCGTCTTGACCCCAAACCCTCAACCCCAAACGCTAAACCCTTAAAAAACCCTACACCCTAAACCCTTAAAAAACCCTAAACCCTAAACCCTCGTAAAGTGTTGACTTAGAGGTTCTATGGTAGGGTCCTCGATGTCTGTTTTGAAGCATGTGTGTGGGTTTCACTTTGCAGACCTCGTACCGTATGCCTCGCCTGGATTGTCCGAGTGTGAGAGCCGAAACCCTTAAAAAACCCTAAACCCTAAACCCTTCAAGAACCCTAAACCCTAAACCATTAACAAACCCTAAACCCTAAAACCCTAAACCGCGAGGAAAAAGTCGAGAGTAGTCGCCTGACTAAGGAAATTGGTCTCCAAAGATGAGCAAACTACTATTCTGGTGCTCCTACCCACAAAGCTCCTCGGGATATTCCGAAGGGGTTTAGGGTTTAGGGGTTAGGGTTTAGGGTTTATTTGGAAGGATCGGGGGACCTAGTGTGACCTAGTAAGTGGGCTCTCTGCGTCGTTCTGAGCATGATAACCATACGTCCATCTATAGTACAACCTACTTCCTCGGTCTAACATTGAGCCTTGAACCACAGAGTCATGTTACGTCGTGCTTCTATGCTTCTTGTTGAGGTCTGGGAAATACGCGCTAATTCTGGGGTGTTGGGCTCGTTGGGAAACTGCTGAACCTTTCAACCCCAACCGTAACCCTTGCAAACCACCCCTGGTTTTAGGGGTTACTGAAGCAGTGCGACTTGAAACAAGCGCCAAGGGCATCGGGACACCATGAACATCAGTAGGGACTTTGCGCAGTCTTCTTCTGCAGTCAGCTCAATATTATCTGTGTGCTCAGGTCTGCTCTCTGATCTGTAAACTCTAAACCCGAAGTTGACTCAGCACCAACAGACTCACGTGGTGTGTCCGAAACCCGAATTTGCAGAATGTGTCCTCTAGACCTTGGCATCCAATGGATTCAGAGTCCAGGCAATATAGAGATCGGAAAAAGCAGTAGCAAGTTCCCCATATAGCCCCTGTACAAGTATAACGTAGTATGCACCAAAAATCTTGTTCTATTGATCCTGCAAGTGTGGGAGGCATTGAGGTTTATGTAGAGTCCCGGCACCACTTTTACCCGAAGCCTCCAAAGTCCAAAGGGTCCGGGGCTCTGCAGGGGTGTAGGGTTTAGTTTTGGGTTTTAGGGTTTAGGGTTTAGTTTTGGATTTTGGGTTTAGGGGGATGGATGATTTAGTGCTTTTGAAAGTCCATGGATTGCGGCATGTAGGATTTAAACTTGGACGGTTTAGGAACTCGTGGGCTATTTCTGCGTATTCAGGTCTCGGTTGCGTGCCCAATCCCCTCACAGCCTAAAGCCTTCACTCCAAGCCCGAAACCTTTCAAAACCATCAAAAAAGCCCTAAAGAACTTAATCGCTTTCACCCCGAGCTCTTACGCTTTGAGGGCCACAGGCTTATGGGACTTGTGGCCAAAAGTTTGTTTTGACAGACCCGACATTTGTTGAAACCCAACTGAAACAAAAAACATACTCCAAAGCCGTCTCATCCTCCTTATCAACGCTCTAGATTCCTCTTCAAACTCTTATCACCCCTACAGATTTCCCAAACCCTTCTAAACCCTATAAACCTCTTGTAAAGCCTATAGCCTAGAGATTCCTTGTCAACCCTAAACCCTAAACCCTAAACCCTATCGCCTAGACATTCCTTGTAAGCCCCAAAAAGCCTAGAAATTCCTTGTAAGAGCCTCGAGATTCCTTTTGAAACTCTTTTTTCCGGGCTGGGCGAGACCACGAGGTTCCCGACGATGGCCACCTTTCAGCACGAGGGGTACAACGACACCGTCTTTGCGCCATGGCTCTACCGTGGCTTGGGCCAAATTCCCAGAGATTCCGGAAGACTCCGAATAAAAGGAGTCAAGCAAGGGGTATCCTAGATCAATTTCGTCTATACCATCCCCTACAACAAGATTTCCTTCAACCTGAAACCCCGAGAGACGTGAAGAAACAGTCTTTCGCACCCTTCAGGAAAGCAGCTCATGGAGTTCCTCCACGGCCGCTTGGTTGTTGTTTCTTGCGCCATTTTTCACAGTAACGCCTAGCCCCCAAGCCCCAAAATCCCGCAGCCCCTGAACCGTAAGCAGTAAACACTAGGTGCACGAGACACCCCGCACTTATATCACAGGGCTCATGGATCGGCCGCCACTGGGTGCGGAGCTGCAGCTCACAGGGAATCCGGTGATCGAGTACGAGAGGCCGGACCGCTTGAGTGTTTCTGGTGACTCTAGTTCTAGGGTTTAGGGTTTGTGGTGTCTGATATTTGAATTCCCGGAGACTGTAATTACTGTAGCACTAGTGAAGCCTAGCCTCTTGTCTGTTTTGAAACCCCGGTGATCGATTCGTCAGGGTGTCTTTCTCTCTTGCTTCTTGTGGAACTTGGCAGCTTCAAAGAAGCCTGAGCCTCAGAGCTTCAAGGGTTTAGGGTTTAGGGTTTAGGGTTTAGGGTTTAGGGTTCAAGCCTTACCTCAGAAAGCTCTGAGCCTAACTAGGCCAATCAAACCGCCGAATAACCACCATAAAGCCTTCATTAGAGTCTCGAAAGGAGGCCGTATGGAACGCCATGCAAGACCTAGCTTCCAACCTTCCTCCTCGCAGAGGTTCTTTGACCGCAGCATTGAGCTGCTCATGCACGCCGAGGTGGCGAAACTCAAAAAGCAAAATGAGAGGGCCTGTTCTACACTACGCGCCAATCTTTGACCTAAGTTTGAATAAACTCCCTGGGCCTTGTCCCTCACAATTTCATGTTTCTCTCAAAGTAAAAGGGTTCTACAGATGTCTAAGGCATTTTGTGGTATGGACACTGCAAGGGGTCGTTACGGCTTGAAGTTCGGGTTTTCCAGAGTGGGTACAGGGCCTTTTGCCGTCACTTCCTCCTATCCCTATGCATGTTTGACAGGTTATTGATGGGGTGCCTACCGAGTTTCTCAGGTTCAGTTTTTAAGCTGCACGGTCATGAACTTCATGTTGTAAACCCAAAGCGTTGCAGCCCTCAACTGGGAAGCCATAAAACCTAAAATCCTATACTCCCAGCCCCTAAGCCCCTATATAAGCCTATTAAACCGTGAACCCCTAAACTCTCAAACCCTTAAACTCTAGACCCTAAACCCCGAAACTCTAAACCTCTGAGCCCTAAACCACTAAAGCCTGGACCTTTGGTATCTGCCTATAGTATCCATTGTAGTTCCTTTTGGGGGATACCTTATAAAATCCTTTATATATATATATATATATATATTTGGTTAAACCAAAAAAAGGAACTCCAATGGAGACTATAGGTGACATTGGCAGGTCTTTTGCCTGCCTCTTGCACTGCTCATCTTTTGCCGTCTCGTGGGGGAGGCCGTCCCGAAAACTCTGTTAGGGCTTATCCATCTGAGAGATTCCGAAAATTAGGGTACCTTATTTTGGGGTCGTTATAATAGGGATCCTATTAATTAGGGTACTATATCAGGGTCCCCTATTTTCGGAAACCTCCATCTGTCAGATAAGTGAAAGCTCCATACGTAAGGCTTTGAGAAGTTTTGGAGCTCAGGGCTCTTGGGGTTGACATGACCGACTGACGATGTGCAACAGCGAGTCTCGGATTGCATGTCTATGTAATTTTGTCACGGGTTAGGTCGGGGGGGCTTTTAAGGATGTGGCGCTTTCGGTGAAATGTTGCCATGTTCAACTTGAGCTGCACTGTCGTTGCGTCTGCAACGCATGGCAACCCAAGTATGGGCTCAGAGTTACGAGTTCTGGCGCAGGAAAAAGCGCTGGTTTCGGGAGGTCCAGTCAAGACATACAACAAGACTGGTTTAAGCCGACCCCATGGAGAACGAACCCCATAGATGCCAAAAGGCCTTCCCTAAACCCTAAAAGCCCGATAAGGAGTAAACCCTCAACCCTTGAAGCCCTACACCTTAAACCTATGTTAAACTTTCGCAGGTTCTGAGTATAAGCCCCCGTGTGGGATTCTAGGCTGGGCTCCAGCTGCGAGAACCCTAAGGATTGGGGTTAGGGTTGAAGCTGCTTCTGCTTAAACCCTAAACACTAACAATTGGGGTTAGGGTTTAAGCTGCTTCTGCTTATTTGTCTCAGATCTAGGGTTCTCTCTGTTGGATCTGTGTTTCGTTTGCGTTCGTAGTCTTCCTGATTTGGATGGGCTCCATGATTTGCTACAGTTCAGGGCTTCGAGTTAAGGGTTCTTGTGCTCAGGATTGTTGAGTTCAAATGCTTGATAACTCCAAAGCAAGCCGTTCGGTCCGCCTTTGGTATTCGTAGGAAACTTAAATAATCCCGTACTTGCAAGCATCCATGAGCTTCCAAGATATGTCAAGTAACTTTTCCTTACCTGGGGTCTTTAGCCCTTGATTCTGTTGTATCTGGAACCGTAAAACCTTAGACTCTTACATCATAAACCGTGAAAGCCCGTCGGCCAGAAACCGGCAAAACTCACATCCCCAGATCCGGCTGCTGATTCTGCCTCCTCTCATTGTCGTCACATCTCTCGCAGCAGCGTCCGCGCTCTGCGTGACCTGGGCAGTTTCGGAAAACATTGAACTCCGCATCTGCTTGAATTTCGGGTTTTAAGTTTCAGGTGTGGAGTAGTCTTGAAAATAGCGAAAATCCGTACCTCCAAATTTTGAGAAGCACCGACTTCATTCACGGAAAGTGGATGTGTTAGGTAGGTGCTTTAGGATTTTAGTACTTCGGCTCTCAAGGCAAGGTTCTTGAGGGTTTTTTACATGTACTTGGGCTGGGATTTCGGGTTCAGGGTTTCGGTTGCTGAAGCTAGGATTTTCGAGCTTGGAGCTCTAGCTTAAGAACCCAAAACCCACTTTTTTGTAGGTTCTTATCATAAACCCTAATATGGGATTTATAGGGACCCTAAAAAAGTAGGTTTTGGGTTCTTAAGGTAGCGGTCTAATTTGCGTTCTTAGGGCTTAGGGCTTCACGGCTTTATGAGTTTAGGAACAGGGCAACCGCTCTGGGCTGCAAGCTGATCCAAGACCGTAGCATCCATACCCAAACAAATGACCCTTATTCCAAACTCTAAACCCTACGTGTGTTAGGGTCAGTGCAAATAACCCCTAAACCCTAAACCCTAAACCCTAAACCCTAAACCCTAAAACCCCTCAACCCGGCGCCCTCAGGCCTACCCTCGGTCGTTTCTCCAGACCCCGAAATCTTAACACGTCACACCCGAGCCCCTGAAACAGCTCCGGCAATCAGGCCTGGCAGCCCCGAATTTCAAAACCGTAGCCCGAAACCTCAGGCACTCATGAACCTTTCTAGAGTTGTAGTTGGGCTTATAAGCAGAGTAACTAAGTTATAACCCATGTTAGGGGACTTATAACTGCCCATGGAGCTTCACTTGTTGAACCTTTTTGTGATAAGCAGGGCTGTGCCGCTGGACCCTAAGCCCTAAACCCGAGTTCCTAAACCCTAAACCCTAAACCCTACCGCAAGGTACCCCTGGCGCACTGGACTCCGCCGTCTCCCGACGTGCCGCACCTTGACTGCCCAAAGAGCTGCGGTTGTGGATTTGTAGTCTTAGGGTTTAGGGTTTAAGGGTTTAGGGTTTAGGGACCTCATGGTTTAGGGATGTTGGTTAATATTGGGTTCTATATGAACCTTGCAAGGTTTACGAGGGGCTCGTGGGGTATAGTAACCCCCAACAAACCCTAAAGATAGGTGGGTTCTGACCCCAAAATCCCAAAAATCTGTAGGTTATTGGATCCCCAGGTAGTCCTCATTGTCATGGTAACCCCCAAGAGTTCAGGCCGACGATGCTATCGGTTCTTTTGGCTCTGGGCTTGGACTATGCGCTCTTCATGCTCACACGCTTCGAAGAGAACCGTTGCCGGGCAGAAATGGGTAGCTGTCAAAATTAGGGTTTAGGGTTTAGGGTTAGGGTTTAGGGTTTAGAGCTGTCAATATTATGGTCCCTTTTGGGGTACCCTAAATAATAAATGCCGTATTATAATAAGGACCCAAAAAGGGACCATAGTTTTGACAACCACCCAAATGGAGGCTGTAGAACAGAAAACCCCTAAGCCCCGTCCCACAGTTCAAACCTAGAGGCCTGAGCCCCCAATTCTCCGAACCCCTAGACCCATAAATGTTTGGCTCCTAAAGGGAGTTTAGGGCTTCGCGTTCGCGGCTGTAGTGGGAGTTAAGGGCTCGAGGGTCGGGTTTGTGCCGTTCTGGTTAGGGAACTTCACAAAGCACGCACTCGAGCAAAGATCCCGAACAAGGACCTAGGTTAGGGTCTACTTGCAACTCCAAATGGTGCAGAATCGTAGCCTCTATATAACCCGCTTATGAGCCACTAACTAAATTACAGGGCATAACCCCGAACAGTCTGCATCATGAACCCAAAACCCGATTCAACTACTCAAGGCGCCTACAGTAGCCACAGATAGGACTCAGAGCACCGTGACAGCACGACTGCGTCCGCTCTCGGGGGATCGCAACCTCACGTCCAGAGGGCCCAGGCCTCATGGTTGAGGGTTTATAGTTCAGTTTAGGGTTTGGAAGTGTAGGGTTTATCTGCGCCTGCTGCTCTACTCTCAGTTATCAGGCTCTATGCACCATCCCCCGTCAAATACAGTCACAGAAGAAAAGGGGTTATCTGCAGAGTCCGGGTTCGAAAAAACTGGCCTTGTCTTGTTCATGGGCTCACAGAAACCCTGGGCCCCCAAATCTCTGGGAAGGTGCACTGTCGTGGTCCGAGTGCAAGCGTCCAAAAACCTTTGAACAATTCCCTAAACCCTAAACCCTAAACCCTAAACTTTGAACAATTCAGGATCGAAAGATATGGAGATCTCGGCGAATGTGTCCATCCTCATTTGCGAGACTGGGCGGCTTGCCTCTGCCGAGGCATCCTTATTTCTAATTGTAGGGTTTAGGGTTTAGGGTTTAGGGACTTTATTTGCAAGGGCTGCCGGGTTTTTAGCCAAAGAGTAAGATGGTTTAGGCTTAGTGCTTAGGGATATAGGCTTTAAGGGTTTGGAGCAGTGGGTTGAAGGACCCTAGGGGTTAAGCTCCTGGGGCATTGGTCTTAAGCCTTTGGTGGTGATATCAAGCTTCTAGCTTTACTTCCCACGAAAAACCCCGAAACCCTTAAACTCTACAGCCCTAAACCCTCTAAACCGAAACGCCTCTAAACCCTACAAGCTCCAAGGCACACGATTCTTGTGAGCGGAAGTCTTATCGCCATTGCGTTCTTCGGGGCACTCACACTTCCGGCGCCTGGTTCTGAATGAGACTGGCTTTTCGTCTACCTTGTTTGTCGCCCTATATATGAAGTAGGGTTGATATTGGTTCTTCGGAAAGGTGGTCAGTGTATACTTGGAGTGTTACTGTGGGGATCCTCGCAACAAAAGCCCGACTTCGTATCCCTCTCTGCCTAACTGACTACATGACCTCACTGGATACATCCACACGAGGTGCGCGGTTGACCATGTCTCTACTCCGTAAGCAAAGCATTATCATCACCCCCTTTTCTCTGGCTTCTTTTGCAGCATCAGCACGACTGCCCTCGTCTTCATCTCAGCATCATCATGACACTATTCCTTGTACTTCGGTTATGTCTCCGCTGCCATCTCGATCATCCTCGCCACCGTCACCTTCATCACTGCATCGCTACTTCCCTTTTTAGATGCTTGGCACGTTTGCAGCTTGTGCTTGGCTGTCCTGCCCATGATGCTCGCCCTTCTTTGCCAATTGTCTATCTGCCATGCCCCCACCTCCGACCAACCCAGGAATGCTTCTCTTCCGAACCCCAAACCTGAACCCTATAAACCCCAAACCCAACTCAGGACTGCTTCTCTTCCGAACCTCAAAGCCTGAGAAAGATTCGAGAGATGGTTTTCGAGCCCGAACAGAGGAAACCTAAAGTTCTGAATTTCCCAACCTGACACTTTAAGATCTAGAACTTCAAACCACTCAACAACCTGCTGGGAGGCCCAGGTCATCATAGTACATCCATCAGGGTTTAGTGTTTCGGGCGCTGTCCATGATTTCGCATAGTTGCATACTATAACCATTCTAGACAGGAGTTTCAGGTGAATCCCAAAATCAAACCCCTCAAAATTACTTTAAAGCATAACACCCCCAACTCCTCTAAACCCGAACTTCCAACTCTAGTGCGGGTTTAGGGTTTAGGGCCTTAAGTCCAAAATCTTAATTGCTGGCAAGGAGCAGAATTTGCACAGCGCGGGGGAGGTTCTGGGCATCACCGTGGTGTGCTGCATGCTTTTCAGTTCCCTGGCCTGGGTGGTATGTTGCAATACCAGGCCTTAGAGCCTGCTCAGCCTTCTTCACGCAGACCCTAAACCCTAAACCCTATCTAAACCCTAAACCCTAAACCCTAAAGGGAAAAAATAGGCTATATAAAGTCTTGCTCTGCTCATCTAAGGTTGACACTTGGGGATCAGAGTTCGGAGTTTTCGAGGACTTCAGGAACGCGGGAGTTCTGTGCTTCAGGATCTTCCGGTTCTGCGGCTTAGGGGCTTGGGGCTATAGGGTATATAGAGTATAGGGTTTAGGGTTTAGGGTTTAGGGTTTAGGTAGGGTATATCGTGTATAGGGTTTAGGGCATGGGGTACTATAGAAGCCTAAATAATTACCTGTTACTGTTAGGGTTCCTTATTATAAACATATTCTAAAGGGACCAAAAAACCCTACTCTACTTACAAAGGCCCCCTACATTCGAGGAGTTTTCGTTGCAGGATTTCGGGCTTCGGGTTGGGGACTTGGGATGCCAGGTCTAGACTTCCGAGTTCCCGGAAACAAGGACTCGAGGTTCAACGTAAAGGCCTTAAAGCCTTCATGATTATCTATACTTTTTGGAGGGTTCATGATTTTCACTACAGTAATTATAATATAATATCCCCCAAAACCCTGTTCTTATTGTTAAGGCACCTTTTTCGTAGGAGAACACCAGGCTCGACCATCATCCATGCACTGAGCCCTAAACCCAGCTGGAGCCCAAGAACCCTCCCCCTAAACCCTAAACCCTAAAATAATGTTACACCACCCTAAAACGAAGATGCTGTAGAGCGCAAGGCTTCAACGGGGTTCGAGCCTCTGAGCTTGTAAGGCTGTCTGGGCTTTTGGTGCGAGGGTTTAGGGTTTAGGGTTTAGGGTTCAGTACGGGTTCACAGAAGCGTTCAGGGGGAAAAGGGATCTCGCAACCGGAGATATGAAGCTTCACAGCCTGAGCCGAGAACTGAAAGCCCGAACACCTTGAAGCCCTCATCACTCTGATCACGAAGATTGATTTCCTAACTTAGTGGCTGAGTAGGTAACCTGTAACCTTTTGGGGCTTATCTAATCCCACCATAATTGAAAAGGTTGACCTTTTTGGGGCTAGGGTACTCAACCCCTAAGCTAAAGTCTTAGACCACAAACCCGACAAATTCGATCATTCCTAAGCCCCTAAATCCTCAAGCCCTGTATATCTTTTGGGCAACATCAATGTGATGCCCTATTCCCTGATTCCTAAACCCTAAACCCCTAAACCCCTAAACCCCAAATTCTAAACACCTAAACCCTAAACCCGAAAAAAAGAAAATAAACGAAATCCAGGCCTAAATCCTAAACCTTGGTTCTTCTGAGGCGTTTCGCTCTGCCCGGCGCTGCTACTGCTCTTCGGACGCTGGCTTACGGCCCCTGCGTGCGGCAGCGGTAGCCACTGTCTCTGAAGACTTTAGGGTTTTGGGGGTTTTAGGGTTTAGGGACTTAAGGACTTTAGGGACTTAGGGACTTTAGGGGGTCTAGGGTTTAGGGTTGGTTTAGGGTTTAGGAATGGCAAAATCTGAGGTTTTGGGGTGTAGGAGCTTCATGGCCCTAAAGCGGAGATCCTTTGACCACTTGTGCTGTCGACCCTTTCTATGATTTCACAGGTGAACGCTTCGTCTCACGATCGCGGCCCCGAGTTTCGAGAAGAAGAAGAAGCCCTAAACCCTAAACCCTAAACCCTGTAAAAGTCCGTCTACCGTAGGTAAAAAAAAAACCTAAACCCTAAGAAGACTTGTTTTGGAGATAGAAGAAAGTGTTTGAGTTTGAGTGTAAGGTCGGGTCTAGGGTTCTGATTCTAGGTTCGTTCTGTGGGTTTTAGGGTCCAGGACATGCTTGGGTTTAGGGTTTAGGGTTTAGGGGTTTAGGTGAGGATTCAGGGATAAGTTTCGTGGAGGCTTGTATAAGTCTTGGGGTCAGGCTGATTTGGGGTTTAGGGCTTAGGGTGAAGTTTAATTTAGGGCGTAGTGGTGAGCCTAGGGCTCAGGGTCTTGTGGTTCAGTGTAGGGTTTAGGGTTTAGGGGTGGGTCATTTCAGTGTCCAGCTTGGGAATTCGGGTGCAGCCTGCAGGGTTTGGCGTTTTGTCGAATGCATTCTGCCTTTCCAGAGGCCCCAACCCACCATGGCAAGCGCCTGAGTTCTGAGACTGAAGTAACCCGGGGGATGGGCGTTACTGTAAACCCTTAACAGCGGAGCTGTAAACGTGTAGAGCCACAGAACTCCTCACTTGGGCATGCCGGGTCCCTAGGGTTTGGAGTTTTTAGCTTTAGGGTTTCGCCGATCAGGATGTTTGCTGACATGTTTTTGGTTAGGCATCTTGTTTTTTCTTAGGGACCCGATTTTTCCAACGGGTTCCCGGGCTGAAGGTGACCAAGAGAAGCTCTCCGGGAAGATGAGCGGTAGCGTGCCTCGGCTTGCGACGACTTTGGGGCGCAGGGCCCCGCAGCAAAATCTGGAGGTCAGTAGTTTAGGGCTTATAGGGTTTAGGGCAGGCTTATACTTGATAGCTGCATCTTCTGAAAGACCATGGTATACCCTGGAATCCTAGTTTACTTCTGAACGCCCTTAAATATGAAGCCCGTGAAGCTCCAGACTGCAGAAAGCGTGTACAAGGCCCAGAATGATACCATGCCATGTCCCAAGGCCCTTTTTACTGGTTATGAAGGTCCCGATATTGAAGCTTTACACTTCTAGACCTGTTGGCAAAAAAAGCATGTACTAGACCATTTACCCCTCCACCCGTCGCTGAAGGTCAACAAGACTGATCTGGCTTTAGGGTTGTGGAGTCGAGGTGTTTAAGGTGGTTCCAGGTTATTAGCTTAGGTGTCTATGCAGCTGGAAATCGGTTGTCAATGATTTTATCCTAATTCAATGTTACGCAGATGTAGATGAGAACTTCGAAGCAAAAGCTGGCAATCCAGCAATGTCTCACCAGACTGCATCCCCTAATCCACGAAACCGTAAGATCCTTAACCCACAGCAGCACAAATATCGAAGCAACACCCGGTAAACCTCAACAAGGAGAGGGAGGCTCTCTTCAGCGGAGAGGCAAATGTCCGATACCAGGTGCGCCGGTATACACGACTTCCTCATAGGGCACTCTCGATGTGCTGTGATACTTCAGGAGCTTTACAGTAAACCCCAAACCCTTTTGTTTTGAGTAAGGTTCTGCGTGAAAGCTTGGAGGGCAGAGTGCGGTTTGGCCTTGGGGGCTTCTTCCTTTGTAGAGGCACGGTTGTGTGCTATGTTGAAGTAATAAGATGCAGGGTTGAGGGAGTTTAGGGCTTAGATTGCGTGCTTTGTTGAAGTAAGACACAGGTGCTTATAGGCCAGGATCTTGAGGGGTTAGGGTTTAGCGTGCTGGCACGCATCAAGGAAGCGGTATGGATCAAGCGGTAGCTTAAGTTGGCTTTAGACTTACCCCAACGTCCTGCACTGTAACCCGGGAACACCGTAGGCCCAGGCCCTACCACCCAGCTCGAACCTTAGCCCGAAATCCTCTTAAAGCGATTTAAATTCCGGGTTAAATCGGACTTTAACTGTATATATTAGACCCTGAGCTGTCTGCCAGGGATGGTTCAGGCTGATGCGTTTGGTCCAGCGCTGGCCCAACGGGGCAGTGGCGGCTGTGCCTTTCGGACTCTGCACGGGCTTGGGGGTAGGGTTAAGATTTGGGTTTGAGGGCTTGGGTTCAGGGGTTCCGTTCGTTAATGGTTGCTCAGGGTTTGTGGGTCTTGTTGGTTTAGAAATTCGACGTATTTCGATGTAGGTTGCGCAAGAACAATCATATCCCCTTAGCGCCACAGTATCCCTATACTGTAAGGTTGACCAGCAAGGAAGAGTGAAGGTCTCAATGCTCTTTAAGACTTCAGTCGCTTCTTCACACCGATCACTCCGTAATTCCCCGAACCTCTCCACGAAATTTCATGAGACCAGAAATTATTGGGAGCGTTCAGGGCACGGGGTTCAGAGTCCATCATAGCTTCCTGAGCTACCGAGCCGACCTCGAGCGAATGCCCTCACTGAGAGGTTTCTCCTTTTTCTGCCGGTGACATGGCAGATCCCACGGCTGCAAGGATCCCTGCATGCATTGGTTTTGGGTTAGGCAGTTGGGTTAACCCCGAAAAAGCCTTAAAACGACAGGGCTTATGTAGAGCTCGCAAAAGACACAGCAAGGTTCACCACATGTCAGTCGGAGTTATCTTCCAGTCGGAACGTGAGAATCTTCAAATTGCGGGTCTCTCTTGCAATTGGCAATGGACTGAACATTTATGGTTTTAGGGTTTGGATTGGTCGTCTTCCTTGCTTAGGCATTTGGAGGCTCCGTTTGATTTGGTAAATTTACCCAACATCCCCTAGACCCCTGTAACTCCCAGTGACTCCCATAAACCACCTACTAACCCTACTGGCTGCACGAGGCCGGCGTCCAAGTAAACCCTACAGAACCCCTTTCAAGGGTCTGGGATCAGGCGCTTAGGCACATGAACCCTCCTGTCGCTCCCTCCTGTGGCTTCATCAGCCGAGTCGCACGAATAAGCAAGTGCAAGGTCTTCTTGCCACTTGTCAATCGTGTGGGTTTGCATGAACCCTGAACCTTGAAGACCCGAGTAGCCTATACTTGTGTCATGCGAGCCCTAGGCCAGCCCCTATGCCCAGCCTGACCCTGTGCCGTAACCCAAGCTCAATCCTAATCCCGGTCCCCTTCGTCACTTCTGCTCCACGAGGAACTGCCGACATATATGCGGCCCTGCCCAAGGATATGCCGAGTGTTCTAGCGATGAGGTGGGGCCGGCCTGGTACTCGATTTCGCCTGCCGGTTTCTACGGATCTGTAGCATAGGGCAAGGCAAGGTGCTTCGAGTTGGGAATTTACGGATTTAGAGAAGTTTGGGGGTTCTTCTGCATGTGCGACCAACGGCTGGGAGAACGAATGTACCACGGGCTAGCTGTGGCCCTCAGCCGCTGCTGTTCACTTGGCTGTGTGCCTCGCAAAGTGCCGAGAGCTTGCGCCCCGAAATCAGAAAACAGGTGAACACGTGCACTTGACAGCACCAGAATCCAGAGCAAAGAGCCTCACAAAACCTCACCCAGTTTGTCCGAGACTGGTTGCCAAGCCATCTTGACAACTTCTGAGCCGAAACCCGAACCACAAGCCCTGACCCCCTAAACCCTCAAGCCCGTCCGAGGGTGAGTGCTGAAACCCTCAAGGCCCAACACCGAAAAAACCTTAGGCCTTAATTAGAATGGGGTTTGGGCATATACTATACTAAGATCATAACAAAATAGGAACCACCCAAAACCCTATCCTAATTCTTGAGGCCCCTGAATTTAACCCAACTCAAAGGCCCCGAGCCCACCCCTTGAGCCAACTCTGGCTCCACAAGGCAGCTGGGGTCTGAGTTTCCTGCCGGGCAGTTCGATCCCTACACAGCCTCCCGCCCAGAAATATCAGCGGTTTATGGGTTTAGGGTTTAGGGTGTCGAGATCTGACAAGGCCCTTGCAAAAAAGGGTGTGTCTGCAGAGTCTGTAAGTTGTTCATATGGCCCTCATAGTCCCCAGATGCTTACACTGATACTATCGTAGAAACGCAGCACCCTACAGCCTGCCTATCCGCTGCAGTCGCTAGGTGTTGATGCTAGATAGACGTAAGTGTTCGACTCGAAGGAACGGATGTGTGCTCTGTCAACCCTTTAGAACTAGACCATTGTTATTCAGCATTTGGCGCTCAGATTGTGCTGCGCGACCGCAGCAACAGCGCAGAGGGGCGCCCCAATGCGCTGATGACAGAGACTCCGGGCTATTTTACGAAGCCTACATCCCAAAAGCCTTTTCTTGGGGATTTGGCGCTCACTGAATCCAAAAACCATGGGGTTAAAGTCACACGTTTCAGCGAACTGAGTGAAAGTAACAGGAAGAACTTCAACACGACTGAAGTTTGGAACATCTTGCGTTTGATAGCTGTTTCGGGTTTAGGGGCCTTGGGCATGCTTTGTTCATGAAGCCTCTGCCGTCCAGAGTTCAGTCGCTGCACGTTGTGCGGAGCACGTGTGTGGCCGACTTTCCCAGCTGATGATCCGAGCCTGGGTTCAAAAGGGGCCTTGCGCAAACCTTCCCAAGCCTTCCATGCAGAACGCAGGGTACGATGTGTTCATTTTTGCAGCGGCCCCTAAACCCTAAACCCTAAACCCTGAACCCAAGGAAAGGCTATGAGGCCATGCTCCAGCTCTGCTGCTTGGGCCCGCAGTAGTAACACGCTTAATCCGTAGGATCAGCAACGGGCTTATGGATGCTCCCCAATCCCTAAACCCTGACTCTGAACCAGGAACTAAGTGCATTGTAGGAGTGTGCGAGGAGCACATGCCCCTCAGGGTTATGCTCAAACGCTTCCCACTAAGGCCCTGAACCCGAGACCCGAGACACCCTCTTTTTCCCCCAAGCCCTAGACCTGTGAGCCCTGAGCTCCACAAAGAGACCCAGGTCCTCGTGTTGGCTCATATCTGTCGATGTAAGTGTTTTCGAACAGCTGCAACGAAAGAAGCAACTTGAACAGCCATCTTTGCAATGAGGCAGCTTAAGGGATATAAACTTTTCAGTGCTAAGCCCTGCAGAGGCCAAGAGCGAGAACCGAAAGAGCTGATTTTTGATTTTCTGTGCGAAGAGCCTGGCGAAATGAGCTTTTTGGAGTTACAAAATTCCGAAGCTCTGAGAGTAGTCAGTCTAGCGTAGTTGGAGACCGAGACCTCGTGCGGCGCAGTCCGAGTTGCGAGAGCGTAAAGCCCTGTAACCCAACCTTTATAGACTTTAGACATTACGGCTTAGGGTTTAGGGTTTCGAGCTGCGTATCCGTGGCGTCAGAACCTGCAGACTCGTTTGAACAGGGTCTGTGCCAACTGCACGGTATCAAAGAGGTCTTGAACAAACCGACTGCCGCCCAGAGACTGCAGGTAACATGCTGGACCAGATCGGATCAGCAGCTTTCCTCTGCATATGGGGGTTTCCAACAATAGGGGACCCTAATATAGTACCCTAAATAATAGGATCCTTATTATGAGGACCCCCAAAATAAGGTACCCCTAATTTTCGAAAGCTCCCATATCTGAACTTCAGTTCACAGGGCCGGGTGCCTTGCTTTTCAGGCCACACCCTCAAAGCATCAAAGCCCCTGTTGTATCCTTGTACCCTTGAGTTCAAGACCATCGTCATTTCCTGCTTTGCCTTTGGGCGCATGTTCTGTTATGTCGGACTTGCGGTTTGAAGCGTCTGAGACCTCATAGTCTTTACCATTTCTGGTTCTGAGCTGCGACCTAGACTTGTACTTCTGGTTTTGGGGATTTTGCTTCGGGCTTCATGCGAAACGCAGGACGCCTCCACCCTAGTTCGTATGTCAGCTTCTCTATGCGGCGTGTTTGATGGCACCCAAACCCCGCAACCCAAACCCTGGGTCTTGACCCATGCCCTGCGCCGTGGAAAAGCTGCCTGCCTCTTAATGATCGGCGGCGCTGCACTGATTGGGCTCGTACCTCCCCAAAGTTGTCATCGTCCTGAAGCCTTCGCAGAGGTTGATTCGATGCTGGGTCCTGTTCGGCTGCTGGACCAGACGGTAGATTGGCAGAAGGCCAGCAACTCAAAACGAGTAGAAGAGATCGACAGCATCTCCTTACCCCATACCCTAAGCCCCTCGTCTTGGAGCCTAATGTTTCTTCGTCCTACTCCTCTGAACAAGATACCTGGAAGAGAGCCGCAAAGCGCCCAAACACGACTTTCGACTCTGCCCATGGTGTCTAAGCAAGGGATAGAGCTGTAGTAGAAACGCTCCGCTGAGGGGCGGAAGCCCGGCCAATGCGGGTGTGGGGGAAACCCCAAGCCCCAAAACTCCTCCAACCCTAAATGATTAAAAAAAGCCATAAACTACCCTATTGCAATGCGGGCTCGTCCTGGCTAGGTGGGAGGCAAACATAAACTACCCCTAAACCCAAAGCCCCCGGCTGTAAACCCCTGGTTTGGGGTAAACCCTAAACCCTAAAACCCTAAACCCTAAACCCTAAACCTAAACCCTAAACCCCTACAAACTGGCGCCATCCTCGTCGCAGAGAATCAGAAACTTGGCGAGGCGCAGCTTTACCGCTCTTCTGTGGGCCCGGCCTCCATGCACAAGATCTATGGGACCCTTATCCTTAGTTTAGGGGTTAGGGTTAGGGCCCTAAGCCCTAAACCCTTATGGTTTGCCTTTGCCGGTGCGGCTTTGGAGGATTTTGTGGGTTTGGGGTCTCGGGTCCCAGGGTGTAGTGGTTGGGAGCTTCTGGTGTTTGAGGCTTTCGGGTTTAATATAGGGGCCTAGATAATGACCTATACTATNNAAACCCTATTCTAATTATCAAGGCAACTATGTTACATCGTGTTGGGGTCGTTGCTCGTTGGCTCTTGGTAGGGTTTCGGCTCGGATCCTAAATTCTTGTTCGACGGTCATAAGCCCTTCCTAAACCCCCAAAGTAGGCAAAATAATGGCCCAAGACCCATAAAAGGCAATTATTCTACATACTCTTGGGGGTCCAGGTTAAACCTTAAACCTTAAAGCCTGCAAATAGCGTAAACTCCATACCGGTCAACCTCAACATCCCAGAGGTTTCCTTGGAGCATGCTTTAGAGGAAACAGGCTTTAAGAGCTGGGGCTCAGTTCAAGAGGTTACGAGGCCCTTTTCAAAGCTATAAGAACTACAAAGAGTCAGACTCTTTGGCTTGGGTTCTGGGACTTCTTTCCTGCAATTCTCAAAGGCTTTAGGATTGTGTCTTCGGGGTGAGGACCCCAAGCCCTAAACCGCGAAGGCGGGCTTGCTTTGCTTCTTTTCAGGGTTTCTTTGAGTTCGGCACCCAGGCCTTTGGTCTAAATCCCCGGTGATCCGAAGCCCCGGATGAGAGGTCGAACATTGAGTCTCATATCGGGGTCGGAATGTTGCTAATAGGAGACTCACACTGTCCTGTACCATGATCTGCACCAAAGCCCTTCTTGTTTCTTAGTGAGGCCTTCAGTTTTGCATTGCAAGCCCCACACCGTAGACCTCAACCCTAAACCCGAAACCCTAAACCCCCAGGTCCGACTCCCTGCGAGGGTCTGGGTGTGGAGCTTACCCATAAGCCCCATAGTAGCTCCTTTTTGGGATTACAAAAGAGTAGTCTAAATGGGAATCCCAAAAAGGAATTACTGTGGGGCCTATGGGTACGGCTCGTAGGGTTTATTTTTGGGGAGATTAAGGCTAGTGCTGTCTGGTAGGGGGTGTTCGGGCAGATGCGTTGGATGCAAGGATGATCCAATCACTAATTAGGGTTTAGGGTTTTGGGTTTAGGGCCCTAAGCGCTCCAGCGCAGGACATTGCTGGACACCCACGTGAACGGATCTGCCGTTCTTCTGCAGGCCATTGAATGCTCTTCAGTCCCTGGGGTGAATTTAGGCTTGTGAGTAGATCCACCTGTATTTGGGTTCTTGGTCTCTGAGCTGCGTAGCTGAGCAAGATTATAGTGAGACGAGCCCATCTGTGTTTTGCAGACCGGTGATAAACACTGCCGAAGGGACTTATCGGGGCCTGTGCTTTTGTTTCAGCTCTAGCCACCCCAGACCAACATCCAAGCCCATGCCACGCCCTAGACCCTAACAGACCCAACCCCATGATAGTGTTGCGGAAGCCATTTTCTTGAGAATCTTCTTGCTGTCTGAAAAGTCCCGTGTTTTGTGGTTTCGGGTTTTCAAGGCTTTCGGGCATAAGTAAGCCATTCCTACAGAGGTTTAGGGTCCTATTCCGGGGAAACCTTCAGTTACTCAGCCGCCCAAGACCCGTTTCGAATACTTGACTTATAGTAGCTAGAACTAAAGAAAACGGTCACTAACACTTAGCCACTAGCATTACATTGCATTACGTTACATTACATTACATATACGTAAGTTTACACTATTTTATTTCCTTTTATCATAATACACGATATAACGAATATGATGCTGTGCTGTTATTTTGTTTTATCTTGTTAATGAACCTTATTAGGGTATCGTATGTTTTCGCAGATTATGGTATGCAGCACCCCGAGCCTTCCGAAAGGTGTTCGTGAAGTTCCTCCCGCGTGGGCCTCGCGGTGCCTCGGATGACGACTTTTGGTTTAGGGTTGAGAGTTTGGGGTTTAGGGTTTAGGATTTAGGTAGGGTTGAGGGCTTGGGGCGTAGGGGTATAGGGATCAGGGAGAAAAATCGAGTACATCTGCATGATTCCAAATTCGACCACCTATAGCTTCTATACATGATCCTCAATGATGTAAAGTTAAAGGGCGCAGAGATGGTTTGGGGGTTGTCCGTAAGCATGTACCCCAATCAGGCATCTGAGGATGTGGCACGGCCTCGGGAAAGTAGCGACTGTTGGGTCTCGTTGTCCTGAAGCCAAAGGCCTGAACTACCCAAGCTTTTTATGGGTCGGTCTATCTTGATCCAACAACATCCTCGAAACTTAAACGAATAGTGTCTTCAAGAAATATACGAAAGAAGAACTCCAGGGGCGGCGTGGCTGCGGGCTGCACGGGAGGGCTTGCGGCTTTGGGAAGGCCTGACTGCTATCATCCCCGTTTGGCTCCTAGCAGTCCTGGGTTAATACTCCCCAAAACCTGATTCGATTGATCAAGGCCCTTGTGTCAGAGAACTGGGCTCAAGCTTAGAGGCCCTAAGCTGCGCCTTTCTTAGGCTCCCTCAGGGTGGTTTGAGGTTTGCTTTTTTTTCCTAATACTTCCATTGTTAATCATTCCATTGTTGCTTTCAGGTTTCCTAGTACTTCCATTGTGGCCGCGGAAAATCAACGGCACCCGGCCCATTTGCCCAACTCTCCCGCCTTACTGGTCTCAGTCTCACCCCCCCCC